ACAACATTAAGATGTCGGAATGCTGTTCTGAGGTTTGCCAGGCGCCCATATGCTGCAGCAGTTATTTGGTTGATGTGCGCTTCAGGAGATGTGCCTGATGTTATACTCACCCCAAGATCTTTTTCCTTGAGTGAGGTTTGTAGTCTCTGGCCCCCTAGACTGTACTCTGTCTGCGGTCTTCTTTGCCCTTCCCCAATCTTCATGACTGTGCACTTGGTGGGATTGAACTCCAGGAGCCAATTGCTGGACCAGGTCTGCAGCCTGTCCAGATCCCTTTGTAGTTCTGCCTCGTCTTCGATCGAATGAATTCTTCTCATCAACTTCACGTCATGTGTGTGTGTGTGTGTGTGCACGCGCATGTGTGCGTGTGCGTGCGTGTGTGCGCGTGTGTGCGTGTGCATGTGCGTGTATGTGTGCGCACATGTGTTACTATAGTAAATTGTAGGGTGTATTACAAGCCTAAATGCAGTTTTTTAACCCTTTCAGGGTTTTCGAAGTACAGTGGACCCCCGGTTAACGATTTTAATCCGTGCAAGAGGGCTCATCGTTATGCGAAATAATCGTTATGCGAATGAATTTTCCCCATAAGAAATAATGGAAATAAAATTAATCCGTGCAAGACGCCCAAAAGTATGAAAAAAAATTTTTTTTACCACATGAAATGTTAATTTTAATACACACAAACTGAAAAAGGCATGCACAATTAAATGACACTTACTTTTATTGAAGATCTGGTGATGATTGATGGGATGGGAGGAGGGGAGAGTGTGTGTTAGTGTTTAGAAGGGGAATCCCCTTCCATTAGGACTTGAGGTAGTAAGTCCTTTTCTGGGGTTATTCCCTTCTTCTTTTAATGCCACTAGGGCCAGCTTCAGAGTCACTGGACTTCTTTCGCACAACATATCTGTCCATAGTGGCCTGTACCTCTCGTTCCTTTATGACTTGCCTAAAGTGTTTCACAACATTGTCAGTGTAATAATCACCAGCACGGCTTGCAATAGCTGTGTGAGGGTGATTTTCATCCATGAAGGTTTGCACTTCAAGCCACTTAGCACAGATTTCCTTTATCTTTGTAGTAGGCAACTTCTTCAATTTCTCTCTCCCCTCCTCTGAACCAGTTTCCTCAGGTCTGGCCTCTTGCTCTTGAAGTTGATCTATCAGCTCATCAGTGGTTAGTTTTCATTGTCCTCCTCCACCAACTCTTCCACATCCTCCCCACTAACCTCCAACCCAAGGACTTTCCCAATCCCCACAATGGATTCCTCAACTGGCACAGGATTCTCAGGGTTAGCCTCAAACCCTTCAAAATCCCTTTTGTCTACACATTCTGGCCACAGTTTCTTCCAAGCAGAGTTCAAGGTCCTCTTTGTCACTTCCTCCCAAGCCTTACCTATAAGGTTTACACAATTGAGGATATTAAAGTGATCTCTCCAAAACTCTCTTAGAGTCAGTTGAGTTTCTGAGGTCATTACAAAGCACCTTTCAAACAGAGCTTTTGTGTACAGTTTCTTGAAGTTGGAAATAACCTGCTGGTCCATGGGCTGCAGGAGAGGAGTGGTATTAGGAGGAAAAAAACTTCACTTAATGAAGCTCATGTCCCATAAAGTCGCTCTGCCACGCTCTGTAGGATGACCAGGGGCATTGTCTAACACCAGGAGGCACTTAAGTTCTAATTTCTTTTCAGTTAGGTAATTTTTCACATTGGGGGCAAATGCATGGTGTAACCAGTTATAGAAAAATTCCCTAGTGACCCATGCCTTACTGTTTGCCCTCCACAGCACACACAAATTATCCTTGAGGACATTCTTTTGCCTGAACGCTCTGGGAGTTTCAGAGTGATACACAATAAAGGCTTCACTTTGCAATCACCAGTAGCATTGGCACACATCAACAAAGTAAGCCTGTCTTTCATAGGGTTATGTCCTGGGAGTGCCTTTTCCTCCTGAGTAATGTAGGTCCTGCTTGGCATTTTCTTCCAGAACAGGCCTGTTTCATCACAATTAAACACTTGTTCAGGTTTCCCGTCCTTCAGTTTCTATGTACTCCTTGAATTCCTGCACATATTTTTCAAGCCGCTTTGTGGTCCGAACTGGCAGCCTCACCATGCCTTATCACACTATGGATGCCACTACGCTTCTTAAATCTCTCAAACCAACCTTTGCTGGCCTTAAATTCACTCACATCATCACTAGTTGCAGGCATTTTTTAATTAAATCCTCATGCAACTTCCTAGCCTTTTCACATATGATCGCTTGAGAGACGCTATCTCCTGCTATCTGTTTTTCATTTATCCACACCAATAAGAGTCTCTCAACATCTTCCCTCAATTGCGATCTTTGTTTCGAAAACACAGTTGAACCTTTGGCAAGAACAGCTTCCTTGATTGTCTTTCTGGTGCCCCCAATAGTAGCGATGGTTGATTGGGGTTTCTTGTACAGCTTGACTAGGTCGGCTATACGCACTCCACTTTCATACTTATCAATTATCTCTTTCTTCATCTCTATAGTAATTCTTACCCTTTGAGGTGTAGGGTTGGCACTAGAAGCTTTCTTGGGGCCCATGGTCACTTATTTTCCAGAAACAGCACCGAAAATACTGTAATAATACGAAATATTCCGAGTGTATGCTTGGATGTTACCGCGGAGGCTGGCTGGTAAACAATGGGACGGAGCGGCACATGTGAGGCTGGCTGAGGGCACATTGGACGCGTCTCGGACGAAAATCGGTATGCGGGTTTTTAATCGGTATGCGCGGCAAAAATTTTGCGATAAAAGTAATCGTTATGCGGAAAAATCGCTATGCGATGCCATCGTTATGCGGGGGTCCACTGTACTAGTACGGCTTACGCACCAGGGTTATTGACGTACTAATACACCTAAATTCTAGCACCTTCAAATCTAGCGAGAGAAAGCTGGTAGGCCTACATATGAAAGAATGGGTCTATGTGGTCAGTATGCGCAGTATAAAAAAAATCCTGCAGCACACAGTGCGTAATGAGAAAAAAAAAAACCTTGACCGTGTTTTTGGATTAAAAGAGCGACTTTGCACTGTATTTTTGTATTGTATTTACAGTTGTATTCTAGTTTTCCTGGTCTCATTTTATAGAATGGAAGACATATTACAGAAATAGACATGATTTTGACTGGTTTCACAACGAAAAGTACCTTGAAATTGAGCTCAAAGTAGCAGAAATGTTCGATTTTTACCAAAGTTCAAAAGTTAACAAATCATGCCAGGAATCCAATACACGTCAACTGGTGAGTCTAATATTCTTTCACAAGTGCACTGATATTATTTATACCATTTCTACACTAATGCAGTAGTCTGCGTAACAGTAAATTTTCTATTTTTTGTAAGAATAAAAATTCAAAGTGGAAAGCAATAGAAAGATAAGAGGGGCCTGGGGACGTGACTAACGAACAGAGAACTTGTTATTTTAGTGCCAGGAATGTTTTTCTTGTTTATTCTGGACCCTATTTGGAAATTGGCATCTTATGAAATTTGTGTGAAATTGGCAAAATTGCCAATTTCTAACCACTTTATTGGATAGTTGAAATTGGTAAATGGGTGGTTGCTTGTACTCATTCGATAGACAAAATGGAGTTCTAGTGAAATATGATTTTTGTTGACTAGTACACAAGAATTGGTCAAAAATAGGGCTCAAAGTGTGTGGAATCGCCGATGCGTAAACATCAGCGAGACCGCTAACTTCGCGAGAACATAATTCCGTAAGTTTTCCATCAAATTTCATACTTTTGGTGTCATTATGATCGGTAAAAAATTCTCTATCATTTCACAAGAATTTTTTTTTTTTTCGAAAAATTTTCTACACTGAGAACAAGTTTTGGATAGGACCTCTCAACCCTGAAAGGGTTAAAGAACAAATATATTACATTTTGTATATACCTTTTAAGAGTCAGTAGCAGACTGTGTTGCCTGATCTTACCACAGTCATCCTCTAGTGTTTCCTGTGATGATCAGCTGAATGGTTTGTGGTGCCCGACGATGATCACTTGAATGGGTTGTTTGTGGTGCCCGATGGCCAGTTGAACAGGTTGCTTGTGGTACCCAACAATGATCAGTTGAATGCGTTGTTTGTGGTACCTGACGATGATCAGCTGAATGGGTTGCTTGTGGTGCCTGACGATGATCAGTTGAATGGGTTGCTTGTGGTGCCTGACGATGATCAGTTGAATGGGTTGTTTATGGTACCCGATGATGATCACTTGAATGGGTTATTTGTGGTATACAACACTGGTACAATAAATGATGTACCTGGCACTGCTCAAGAGCACCCACACAACCATCACAGATACTCCTGGGCTGATGTATATATTTCATATCACATAATGTTTAAACTCATACATTGTTTTTCATCACTTTAAAAATATAAATTACATTTTTCTTGTAGATGAATATAGAGAAAAATTCAAACCATAATATTTACTTAATAAAAGAGAAAGTTGAAGTGGTTAAAATACTTAAAATGTCACACAGTGAAGAGTGATTCTTCTTCTACACTATCACTGGCTATCACCAACAGTCTGACTAGTCAGCGATGAGGCCATGATTAGCAGAAAGAGGATGGAGCCTCCATCACTCCTTGCACTCAATAACCCACATGGGTTTGGTGTTTCATGGTATACAACACAATCTTAAACACTATCACGCAAAACCTTTTTTCTTTTATATTTATATTCACATATGCACACACAGAGACCAAGTTTATCTGATTAGAAAACAGTTCACATCTCTTAGTGTGGATAATGGATCAGCAAGAAGCTTCAGAGTGGACTGACATGCCCACACTTTCACAGTATCAAAATATTAACTTTTAGTTTAACAATATTACTTACAAAATGCAACAGCAGATTAAGAAAGGTTTATAAATAGGCATGCATATAAATTATGACACTCAGGTATATATATTGAAAGCTAACAGTCGCATACACTACACTCTAGTTCAACTTATTTTCACTCCGCAGCACTCAACAAAGCCAGGCTTTTGTATGCTTTATTTGCCTATGTTAAATATGAAATTATAAAAATATTTCTGATTATTCTAATCTGGACCGCCCCCCTCCATGGCAATTGCAACAAATTAGTTCTATTACAATTTAATGCAAGAGTTTGTGCTCAGAGTAATCACAAAGTTGACTCTTCAATACTGAAGTAGCTCAGCACAACTCATTTAGTGTGGATCTTGCGGTGTTTTTTCATATGGTCTCTCCTAGCGAACGCTTTACCACAAAAGTCACAAACATAAGGCTTCTCCCCTGTGTGGTATCTCAAGTGGACAGTGAGCTTGTAGCCGGCCTTGAACTCCTTGGCACAATACTCGCATGTGTAAATGCCATCCGATTTCATCAGTTTGGGCTTCTTAACCTTGGGTTTTGTCGTGGCCGGCGCTTCCTGCTGAACAGATTCTCCAGCAGGGTGCTGATAAACCTCCGTACAATAAGGTATGTGTTTGGACTTTTGGTGAATGCGGAGAACATCAGAGCGACTAAAACGGTCTCCACAGAAGCACACGTATGGCTTCTCTCCCGTGTGAGTACGCAAGTGCCGGGAGAGCTTGTAGATAGAGCCAAATACTTTCTGGCATATGTTGCACTCCTGCTTGTTGGGATCCTCAAAGCCTTGAGCATTAAGCTGATCGGTAATTTCCAAGGGTTCGTCCTTTACTTGAATAATCTCTTCCATCTTCACCTGAACTGCAGTGTCAACACACTGCTTTCCTAAAATGTTAGTGTCTTCGCTTTTTACTATCGAGGTTCCCATCTGATTATTATTTTTGGCTTCCAGCAACATTGCACGACGAACTTCTGGATTAATCTTGTGCTTGAGAGAATGAATTTTCAAGTGATCACTTCTAGCAAATCTTTTTCCACAAAAACACACATATGGTTTTTCCCCCGTGTGAGTGCGCCGGTGGAGAGTAAGTTTGTCAGAGCGTGAAAAGGATTTTGTACAAATCTCACACACATGACGTTTTCCTTGTTCCTGGGTCACCACAGGAGGCTTCACATCTGCTGTTTCTTTAACAGCGATCTCAACTTTTGGTACCACTGGTGTACGTGGTGGCGGTGGTGGTGGCACTTGCACCGTAGCAAGGGGAGCAGCCATTGGATATGCCCTGAACACCTGCGGCTCACCGGCTGAAAAATAATGATATGCTTTAGTAATCAAAACAGGACACCATAAACTCAGATCCCTTAGTAGCTACATTAACCCTTTGAGTGTTGAGACCACTGTTCACAAACTTGCTCAAAGTGTCGAAGAATTTAAAAAAAAAATTATATGAAATGGCAGAGAATCTTTTTTCCAAAGGTAATGAAACCAAAAGTTCAAAATTTGATGGAAAACTTACAGAATTACGCTCTCACGAAGTTAGCGGCCTCTGTGATATTTACACATAGGCGATTTTGCCCACTTTGAGCCCTATTTTGGGCCAATTCCTTTGTTCCACTCGACCAAGCTCATAGCTGTATCGCTAGAACTTCTTTTATTTTATTGACTGAGCACATGAAACTGCCCATTTACCTATTTCAACTACATAAAAAGTGATCAGAAATCACTAATTTGGCCAATTTCACACAAAATTCAAGGTCAATTTTAAAACAGAGGCCAGAATAAACAATGTAGACATTCCTGGCACTAAAATAACATTTTCTCTGTTTATTAATCACGTCTCCAGGCCCCTCTAATATTATGCTTGCTTTTCATTTTAAATTTGTATTCACACAAAAATTAGATGATTTACTGTCATTCAGACTACTGCATAATTGTAATAATTGTAAAAATAATACCAGTGCATTTGTGACTGCATATTAGACCCACCAGTGACATGTATTGGACGCATGACGTGATTTGTTTACTCTTGAAAATTGTTAAAAATTTAACATTTCTGCTAATTTCAGCTCAATTTAAAGCTACTTTTAGCCAGTAAACCATTCAAAATCACCTCTTTTTCTGTAATATATCTTCCATTCTATCAAATGAGACCAACATCCATACTTACTACTGTGCAATCTACATATACAGGACCTTAAATTCCAATATTAACCTTGACCTAAAATGCTTTTTTGATAGTTGTGACAGGACCCACAAGCATAACACCTGACACAAACATCTCTACGACATTCCCCGTGTCCGACTAAACCTTTACAAAAATTCAATGTATGTCAAAGGCCCTAAAATCTGGAACACCCTACCTGAAAACTCTAGAACTGCAGACACATTCATCACCTTCAAAACTACCGTTAGAAAACATCTTATCTCCCTGATACACCCCGTCAACTAACTACATAAAAACCACCTGGTGGTTCACACTTACACTCACTCACTCACTCACCCATTTGACTATAAGCACAGAAACACGTATCTTAATCTTAAAATAATGATTCCTAACTAGCCACAATTTTGCCTGTGATACTCCAATATAGAAACTATGTATTGTGCCAAAACAAAAGTATTCACATTGCTAAACTCACAAACTAGTATTTAGTCACTTAGTATTTAGTCAACTTACTCCACAATTTGTAATAATTTAGGGTTAAGAATTAATCTAAGTTTGCCTGAAATGCCTAGCCTTGCTAGGTGTTCTAGTGGCCCCCTCTGTAATTAGTACATATTTTATTACATGAAAACCACACAATAACCAAAATCTGTAAACCCCGCATTGTAATCCTTATAGAGAATAAACTTTGATTTGATATGATTTGATTTGAACAGATCGAGAATACAATCATAAATACAAGACGAAAATACACCGCAAAGTCAATGTTTTAAACCAAAAGTGGTCGCAGCTTTTTATCATTATGTTCTGCTTGCTGTAGAATTTTTTTTAATACTGTGCACACTGACCATGCAGACTCATTCTCTCACATGTAGGCTTACCAGCTTTCTCCCACAAGATCTGAAGCCGCTAGAATTTTGTAGTATTACGGGAACGACACTGGCTTCAAAGCCGTAATTTTATGGGACTGACCATGAACTAAGATCCACTGGGAGCTACATTAAGGGACCATAGGAGACCATGAACTTAGATCCACTAGTAGCTACATTAACCCTTTTGGGGTCAGTCCCGTAATATTACCGTTTTGAAGCCAGTGTCTGTCCCGTAATGCTATGCCAAAATTTTAGCAGTTTCCAGTCTTTTGGGATAAAGCTGGTAATCCTATATATAAGAGAATGGGTCTGCATAGTCAGTGTGCACAGTATCAAAAAAAATCCTGCAGCACGCAGTGCATGAGAAAAAAAACCCGCGACCATGTTTTTGGTTTAAATGAGCAACTTTGCGGTGTATTTTCGTATGGTTTTTATGGTTGTAGTCTCAGTTTCTTTATCTCACTGATAGAATGGAAGATATATAACAGAAATAGAGACAATTTTGAATGGTTTACAAACTGAAATTAGCTTGAAATTGTGCTCATATTAGTGAAAATGTTCGATTTTTGCCGATGTTCAAGAGTAAATGAGTCACGTCACACATCCAATACATGTCAACTGGATGGTCTAATATGCACTCACGAATGCACTGACATTATTTATACAATCATTACCATTATGCAGTAGTCTGAATAACAGTAAATCTTTTATCTTTTGTGTGAATAAAAGTTCAAAATGAAAAGCAAGCGTAATATAAGAGAGGCCTGGAGACATGACTAATGAACAGAGAAAATGTTATTTTAGTGCCAAGAATGTCTACATTATTTATTCTGGACCCTACTCTGAAATCGGCCTTTCTGGAATTTGTTGTGAAACTGGCCAAATGAGTAATTTCTGATCACTTTATTGGGTAGTTGAAATAGGTAAATGGGCGTTTCTTATACTCAATCGATATAATGAAAGAAGTTTTAGCAAAATAGCTACGAGTTTGGTCAACCGGAACAGTGAAATTGGCCCACTAACTTTGCAAGAGTGTAATTCCGTAAGTTTTCCATTAAATTTTGTGCTTTTGGTTTCATTACCTTCAGAAAAATATTCTCTATAATTTCATAAGATTTTTTTTCTTCTTGACAATTCTTCAGCCCTGAATACAAGTTTGCAAGCAGAGGTCAAGACCCTTGTTTGTAGCTACATTAACCACTTCACCATCTGTGTCATATTTCTACAGCTTTGAAGTCAGCATCCGTGCTGTGGTGCGCCAAAATTCTAGCGGCTTCAAATTTAGCGTGAGAAGGCTGGTATGCCTACATCTAGTAGAATTGGTCTGCATGGTCAGTGTGCGCTGTAAACAAAAAATCAGGGCGCTGCACTGCATTGTGGGAACCCCATCTCGGTACGCTTTGTTCACTATGCCTTGCGGTAGCAAAAACCTCACTCCCCACCGAATTGGGAATCTTTTTTTCCAAAGTGACAGTTCTAACATGGATGGAAGTGGAAGTGAAGATGAATTCTATGGTTCTGAACAATTAGTGGTCAAAAGCAACTTACAATTAGTGGCCAAAAACCTTGACAATCCTCAACCATCCATCTCTGGGGCTGGTCCATTTGGGTGACATTCATTTGTACCTTGCTGTAAGTATAAGCTTATATTTTCCCGTGGTCAGGGCTCAGATGTGAGTAAAGGTGATGACAAACAAGACTTGACAGACATATTTACCATACCTAGTTACACAGCAATGCATAACTTCAGGACTGACCAACTAGGAGGAGACACTGCCATCTACTAATCTGATGAACTGGAATGTATGAAATTTACTTGTACCAGGGACGATAATGGTAAATATATAATAGCTAAATTTGCATCAAAAGCCCTAAAAGAAAAAACTATAACAGTTGGAGCAGTCTACAGATTACCACACACAAATACTTAGACTTTAGTGATAACGTAAGAAACATGATAACTGATTCAGAGATAAATAAACACCACCTGATACTTACAAGAGACTTCAACTTAAACCTTATCCAAGCAGCAGACCCTCCAGTAACTGATTTCATAAACACTATGAACTGCTTGCTACTACCTTCTATAGCTAAGCCAACAAGAATCACCGAGACAAGTGCCTTACTTGATCATATCTGGACCAACACTATATCTCCACTACAGCTGGTATAATCACAGACAACACTACAGACCACTACCCTGCCTTTCTCATAACCAACTTATGTAAACTGCCTCAAGACTCGAGTAAGATCTCTTTTCACATATGTGACGAGTCATCAGTAAATAATTAAATATTAGCAATAGGTGACACTGACTGGCAAAGAGAGCTAGCAGACAGCCATAATATTGACAAAGGTGTCAAAAATTTTTTTTACATAAAATCCAAAACCTCTACAACATGCATTGTCCAATCAAAACGAAGCAGATCACAGCAGAGAGACTAATCAGCCCATGGCTAACTAATAGTACCCTCAAATCCATTGATACAAAGCACCAATATGAAAAGCTGCTCAGATTAGTCCTAATTACTAAAGAACTGACTAAATGATACACGTCAATACTCACAAAACTAATATGGAAATCAAAGCAAACGTATTATGAAAATGCATTTATTGAAAAAAAAAAAAAAAAAAAAAAGCAATATGAAAAGGACCTGGAAAACCTTCTCTGCAATTCCAGGCTCTGGAAAACTGTCTACAAACAAAGAGACAAACTTGATTAAACCAGATGGACCTCACATACAGCCTATAAACATGGCCAACAAACTTAGTCTTGATAAATTAGACACATGTACAACTCTTGGGTATCTTTATTGAGGAAACGTTTCGCCACACAGTGGCTTCATCAGTCCATACAAAGGAGAATCTTGAGGAACAGGAGCAGAATGAGGTAATCCTGCCAACGGTTTATAAGCTCCTTCTCAGCACGTATGCCGTATTCTATTCAAGATTGATGGACTGACCACATCGACTCAAGGTTGAGGGACTGATTACCTCATTCTCCTCCTGTTCTTCAAGATTCTCCTTTGTAAGGACTGATGAAGCCACTGTGTGGCGAAACGTTTCCTCAATAAAGATACCCAAGAGTTGCACATGTGTCTAATTTATCAACATGTCGGTTCTCTGAACCATTCATCTACAAACTTAGTCTTCTTGTCTACTGTAGAATCAAAGCTAGCCACCAAAATCCCAAGCTCAAATACTCAGCTAAAAGACAAACTTACTGGTAACTACTCAAATACTCAATACCTAGCACCAACAAATTCTA